GCCTCCCCCCCCTTTCGGCGACCCCACCAACGGCGCGGCGGCCCCCCCCGGGTTCCCACCAAGTCTCCCTCTACCAGGGGGGTTGGGGGTTCCTCCACCTCCCATGGGGCCCCCTATGGGACCCCAAGGGGGTGTTGGGGGAGGGCTACCCATGTCAGGGGGCCCCCCACCTCCTCCAGGGTTCCAAGGGGGCCCTCAAGGGCCCCCTGGCACATCCTTCTTGGCTAGCATTGGAGGGTTTGTGCCCCCCGGTGGCCTGGCTCCCGGCGGCCCTCCACAAACAAGCACGATGCAGACGCCTACAGAGGCAGCAACACCAGCAGCACCAGCTGCTGGTGCTCTTCCCAACGCGGCTGCTGGAGGTGCGTGGGCTTTTTGCCTTTGGGTCGGGGTGTGTCTGGCTATTGTTCGTGGAGCATACTGTGCCTCGCCCTTCGTTGTTATTTGAGGTACTGTCTTTTGATTATGTCTCTTGGGGCTCTGCTGTCTCTGGCGCCTCAAGCGTCTGTTGGTTCTGGTGCTGCATGCAGTTGCCACTGCTGCGACGTCTTGTGCTGCAGGCCGGGCTGCTGAAGTTCCTGGAGCTGCCCCTCGAGGGGGCAAAGGCATCCCCCAGTGGTTGAGGGAGGTGGTGTTAGAGGCAGAGAGCCAGCAAAAGACTTCGAAGGAATCGAGGGAAGAAGATAAGGAGGACGGTCAGCGCGCCATGGATGCCTCCTTAGCTGGTGGTCTTGCTGCCCATTTATTCGATGGGGCTTTTCCTTTCGTGGGGCTGATGGGGCGTCTGCTTCTGCGGGAGCTGAAGGAGATAGGGTTGTAGGGAGGTCGTGCAGCATGCTAATTTGCGTGCTGCGTCCTTTTGTGTGGTGGGTTGGTGCTGCAGGAGGCCAGCTCCTGACGCCGTCTTCAAAGGGGGGCAGCTCCCCTCGTGGACGGTCTCCAGAGATGGCGACGACAGGTGGAGACGGTGCAGTTGCAGCTGTTGCTGCAGCAGAGGCGGAGCCAGCAGCAGCAGCAGCTCCGCCTGCGCCTCCCCTGGTAGATCAGATAAAAGAAGTAGTGACGGAGATCCTGGCTGCTGTAACTGATGAGGTCTTCCGCGAGGCTGCGAGGGAAGCCATAAGCAACTACAGGAGAAAACAGCGCATTGCCGGCAAGACAACGATTGGAGTTCGGCTTCAGGGATCTGGGGCAGCTGCAGACATCGAGCAAATCAACACAAACCAGCAACAGCAGCAGCAACAGCAGGATGAAGGACTTGTCGCAGCCAAAAGAGAAGACCAGGAGAAAACGAGAGGAGTCCTAAATGCTGAAGGCAAGACAAGGCTTTGAGCCCCACGACGGCTGTATCATCCTAACTGTCTCCCCTGGCGGCCAATTATCTGTCTCGTGTTGCCCCTCTTTGCTCGTACCGTCCCATTGTACCTGTTTGTCCTTATGGGTGATCTGGAGGCGCAACGCGACATCTTGGGGGGTGTCCGTGTCCGTATTGACCCCCCGATGTGGTGCACGTACATCGCAATAACATCGAGAATAGTCTTCACCATATTTAGAAACGGCGCTTTAACTCCTGCAGCAGAGAGAACTGTCCTCGTTGCCTTCGTGGCACCGTTCGGGTCTACGTACATCTGGGGTGCATACATCTATACCGGATCTCTGTTCTAGGTTTTTAGGGGGGGGAACGGCTGGTGCATGGGGATTGCGAGGGGGGTTGTACAGTTGTGCCTGTTGTTGGGGATAGTTGTCTGCATTTTCTCCTCCAGGCTGTCCGTTTTCTGTCGACCTGCTGTCTGTTTCCCGCCGTCTTACTGTCTCCCTTCTGTCTCCTTTGTTTCTGGTGCAGCGGTTTTGGTGGGGGCCTATCGCTGTCCTTCTAGCGCAACGCCGCCGCCTGCTGGTGTATTCAACGTTGTAATATATGAAGACGGAGTCGTGCGTAGCGTTCCCTTCTTTCCTTTTTCTTCGCGGCTTCAATGCTCTCCTTCGATTCCTGCATCGTCGTCGTCTGTTTGCCATCGTCCCTTTTTGCATTACTCCTCTATTTGGTTTTTTCCTTTTTGGGTGTTGCGTCTGCTAGTCTCATCATTGGTCTCCTGTTGGCTATTTCGCGTATGTGTAGTCTTTCTGTTTCCTATGGCGTCATCTGAACTTTGTGCCTACTTTTTGTCTTGAATGTTTGCCTCCTCATGTCTGCCCCTCATCGGCATCCATGCATCAGGGAGTGGTTTTGGTGGGTTTGGGGCTGTGCAGGAATTTGCGCGGGTGCCGTTTAACGGAACGCACTTGTTGTTTGGCAGCAGCAACAAATATGCCAACATTATCGACAACCACGTAAGCCCGCAGGCTTGTCCCTGCCGCTAGCTGCTGCAGTTGCCTTTTTTAGCTGTCTGCTCAAAGCCCCCGTTTGGGGCGGTTGTGTTGTAGTGAGGAGCAGCGGAGACTGAATTCGGGTTGCTGGCGGGCTACAGCAGGGGGGACAGCAAGGGGAAGACAGGGTAGCAGAAGGGCAGGAGAGAGGAAATAAGAGATGAACTTGCAGGGGAAGCAGTAGCAGGCAGGAAAATGAAGGACGCGTGAAGGGAGACAGGCGATGCGATAGCTTTGAGGGGGGATGGGGCACGGGCGAGGAGAGTGCTTGCGATAAGATATGAGACAGTGCCGAGTTTGCGGTATTTGTTGGTGCGCATGTGTTGCTGCAGTCAACTGTCTCTAGCCAGCAGTGTGCGCTGTACTTTTCAACCCGGCAGCTGCACCAGCAAGGGGGCTGTTTCTTTTTGCAGCCTTTGGGAGGCCAGACGAGGCTGTTGTTGAACAAGACTGTTCCGTTCTTAGAACAGACAGTCAAGGAGGCACTTGCTGCGCGAAAGAGCCGCCGTAGTGTATCATCCTACGTCTCCAAACACAAGGCCGAGTGGATCGACTGGGCCCCCCAGGCAAATGAGGGCACCCTCGTAGCAGCTGGCGACGAGCGCCTACCTCTCACCGACCAGAGGGTATGTGTACATTTCAAATGTGCATGGGGAGAGACAAGTACCCACAGCAGCATATAGATACAGCCCCACAAGCACATCAGCTGCTCAGCACTTATCGCATGCATGCTTTACGATGTTAGCATACTAACTATCCACCCAGAACGCATTCATGTGTGGATGGTTAGAACCCTCACATCGTATTGTTGGCATGGAGGGCAGCGCAGGTTCTCCTTCGGTTCCGGCGTTTGTCTTTACGGTGCCCAGGGGGTCTCAGAAACAGCTAGAGCGGCAGCTGCTTTGCGTTTCGGTAGATGGGCTTCATGCGACGGGTGGTTCATCTGTTTTGGGCTGCATCCTTTCGGCATGCGTTTGGGGTTGTGTGCATTGCAGAGCTGCTTCATTATGGGGGAGTCCCGGCGGGTGTATTACATCGACCTCACAGATATGGCACATCGCTTGCTTGTCGCCGAGGGCAAAGCGGAGGCGAAGCCGGAGAAGAGGAAAGAGAGAAAGCACAAGAGGAGGAGGAGAAGGTGTGCAGTTTCAAACACAATATAGAGATGTGCCCTCGCGCGGTGTACCGCCTCTTGCCCTTGCCGTCTCGTGCGTGTTTTTTCTGTGTCTCCTGTATGCGTTATTACTCTGCCGTCCCCTCAGTAGAATTCCTCTCTCTTCTCCCTCTCTCCTCTTGTGTACCTACGATTCGTCTCGCGGCTGTCTGTTTGCCTCACCTTCATCTCTATCTGTTTCGTCAATCTAGGCTCCCGTATCTCCTCTCCCCCCCATTTTCTGTTTTTGTTTCATTTCGAAGCCCACGTCTTTGCGTCGGCGTGCGTGTTTCCCTACTTATGTGTCTCATGCCCGTCGGCTTGTCTCCTGCCCCCACCTTCACCTCCTTCTGGCTCGACTCTGTGTCTTCTGCAGCCACAGCAGGAGACACCGCAGCCGTAGAGACCGCAGCAGCAGCCGCCGCCGAGGCCGTGGAGACAGTAGGAGAGACAGCAGAGAAGGCAGTCGGGAGCGGAGCATGAGTGTTGATGGGGGGAGCCCCAAGGCCTCTCGCCACAGCCCCAGTCCAACTGGCTCACCTAGGGGCAGAAGCCGCCCCCGCAGTTTCAGCCCTCCACCTGCAGCAGCAGCAGGGCCGTCTTCTAGGGCGGGCAGCAGAAGCGGGTCTCCCCCTCGCAGTAGCAGAGCTGTATGCCCCAGTCCCCAATCGGGCATGCGGCGGAGCAGCAGCAGCAGCAGGGAAGTGTCTCAAGAGAGACGCAAAAGCCGCAGCAACTCCCCTGCTGTCCTCAGCAGAACCAGCAGCCATCACTCGGAGCGCAGAAGCAACAGGAGCCGCAGCAACAACAGCGATGCTGCGGCGAGCAGCAAGAGGTTTGTTGCGAGTGATAGAAGCCGAAGCAGCAGTAGCAGGAGAGAAGGCAGCAGAGCCAGCAGCACAGCACCGAGTGCTGCTGGCGGCAACCGCAGTCGCAGCAGAAGCGGGTCTCCCCGCAGCAACAGAAGCAGCAACAGTAAAAGAAGCAGTAGCAAGGGAAGTAGCTGCAGCAGGCAAGGCAGCGGCAGTCCAGCAGGGAGCCACAGGAGCCGCAGCGAAGGGACAGAAGGCGGTGCTGCAGCAACCAGCAGGAGCCCCAGTGGAAGCAACCGAAGGAGCAGCAGCAAACGGAGTGACCGCCCGAGCAGGAGCCGCAGTGGGAGCAACGAAAGCAGCAAAAGCAGGCAGAGTGCCGATGACAGCAGGACCGTCAGCGGCAGCAGAGCACGGAGCAGGAGCCCCAGTGGCAGCAAGAGGAGCACAAGCCCTGCCGGCAGCGACAAGAGGAGCCCTGACGGCAGCAAAGCATGCAGCAGGAGCCGTAGCGGCAGTAACAGAAGCAGGAGCGGCAGCAAGGAAGGTAGCAGGAGTCGCAGCGGAAGCAACAGAAGCAGAAGCTGTAGCGGCAGTAAAGGAGCCAGCAGGGGCCGTAGCGGCAGCAGCCGAAGCAGAAGCCCCAGTGGCAGTACCAGCAGAAGCGGTAGCAACGACCCCAGCGGTAGTAATAAGAGCAGGAGCCCTAGTGGCAGCAACAGAAGCAAAAGCCCTAGTGGCAGCAACAGAAGCAGAAGTCCTAGTGGCAGTAACAGAAGCAAAAGCCCCAGTGGAAGCAACAGAAGCAAAAGCCCTAGCGGTAGCAACAGAAGCAAAAGCCCTAGCGGTAGCAACAGAAGCAAAAGTCCCAGTGGAAGCAACAGAAGCAAAAGCCCCAGTGGGAGCAACAGAAGCAGAAGCCCCAGTGGAAGCAACAGAAGCAAAAGCCCTAGTGGCAGCAACAGAAGCAGAAGCGCCAGCAAGGAAGGCAGTAGGAGACCCAGCGGCAGCAACGGAAGTAGAAGCCCTAGCGGCAGCAACAGAAGCAGAAGTCCCAGTGGTAGCAACAAAAGCAGAAGCCCCAGTGGAAGCAACAAAAGCAGAAGCCCCAGTGGGAGCAACAAAAGCAGAAGCCCCAGTGGAAGCAACAAAAGCAGAAGCCCCAGTGGAAGCAACAAAAGCAGAAGCCCCAGTGGCAGCAACAGAAGCAGAAGCCCCAGTGGAAGCAACAGAAGCAGAAGCCCCAGTGGAAGCAACAAAAGCAAAAGCCCCAGTGGAAGCAACAAAAGCAGAAGCTCCAGTGAAAGCAGCAAAAGCAGAAGCCCCAGTGGGAGCAACAAAAGCAGAAGCCCTAGCGGCAGCAACAGAAGCAGAAGCCCCAGTGGCAGTAAGAAGAGCAGGAGCGGCAGCAAGGAAGACAGCAGGAGCCGAGCCGGCAGCAACGGGAGCAGGAGCAGCAGCAAAAGCAAAAGCAGAAGTCCTAGCGGCAGCAACAGGAGCAGAAGCGGCAGCAACGCAGCCAGCAGGAGCCCCAGCAGTACGAACAGGAGCAGGAGCGGTAGTATGGAAGGTAGCAGGAGCCCTAGCGGCAGCCAGGCGGGGAGTAGAGTCCCAAGCGGCACCAAAAGTAGAAGCCCGACCGGCAGCAACGCAGCCAGCAGGAGCCCCAGCGGTAGTAACAGAAGCACAAGAGAGAGCAAGGAAGGCAGCAGAAGTCCCACTGGCAGTAACAGAAGCAGGAGCCGCAGCAACAGAAGCAGAAGCGTTAGCAAGGAGGGCAGCAGGAGCCCCAGTGGCAGCAACAGAAGCAGAAGCCCAAGCGGTAGCAATAAGAGCAGAAGCAGCAGCAGCAACAGCAAAAGCAGAAGTCCTAGCTGCAGCAACAAGAGCAGGAGTGGCAGCAGAAGTAGAAGCCCAAGCGGTAGCAACAGGAGCAAAAGCCCCAGTGGTAGCAACAGGAGCAAAAGCCCTAGCGGCAGCAACAGGAGCAGAAGCCCCAGCGGTAGCAAGGGGAGCGACATTGGCAGCCCAGCACGCAGCAACGGCGGCAGCAAGAGCAGAAGCTGTTCGAGAGGGAAGCGAATGGTTACTGAGGGCAAGGACCCCACAGGAGCAGCCGGCAACAAGCGCAGCAGCCGCAGCAGCAGCCGTAGCAGCAGTGGCAAACGCAGCAACAGCAACGGGAGCACCAACACTCGCAGGTCTAATAACAGCAACCCGCCTGTTGGCAGTCCGCGCGCTAGCATTAAGGATGGGAGCGAGGGCCGCAGCAGCAAAGCCAGCAACAGAAGCAACAGCAGCCGCAGCGCTAGTGGCAGCCCTGCAGCAAGAAGTAGCAGCAGCCGCGGGAGCAGCCCCAAGAGCAGCAGTGAAATAGCAGACCGCAGCAGCAGGCGGGGCCGCAGCAGAGGCAGGCGAGACGCAGCAACGAAAAAAGCACCAGTGTCAGCATCAGGGAGGTCAGGCAAGTCTCGCGGTGGTAGCAGCAGCAGGAGCTGCAGCAGCTCTCCAGCAGTGACCAAGAGGCACAAGAGTGGGGAAGCTGCAGCCGGGAAGAGCAACAGCAAAACTTCAAAAGGCAAGGAGACTGGCGAAGAGACGCAAGTACACCCAAGGCGCGGCATGCATTCACACAATGGAAGCAAGGGAAAGAACCCGGTAGCAGCAACTGCTGCTGCTGCTGCTGTACCAGGGGCCAAGGCTGATAGGAGGGCATCGGGAGGTCGTGAGGGACAGAAGAAGGACATGGGGAGGAGACAGAGGGCAGGAGAGGATGAGCCGGAGAACAAACAGCAGCAGGTGGTGGTGGAAGAACAGAAGAAACAGCCAAAGGGAGCTCAAGAGACAAAGAGTACCAAAGGCAAGGCTAACGCCAAGGAAAAGAAGGCAAAAGAGGCTGCAGCAGATGGCCAGCAGCAGTTGAATGGACAGCAACAGCAGCAGGAGCAGCAGGGAGATGGCCGCAGCAAACGCAGCAGGGCGCAGCAGATGGAAAGCCAGCCGGCTGAAGACAACGAACCGAAGACAACCTTGGAGACTGCAGGAGAGCAGAAGCGAAGAAAGTTCGAGACAAAAAAAGACAGTCAGAAGGGAACAGCAACAACAAAGAAAGGGCGAGATCATAGCAGTTTGAAACGCAAGCGCAGCGCAGGCAACTAAGGGGCTTACCTGCGCTGCAGACCCAAACATGCATTTAGTGTGGGTATGTTTCTTAGTACTTCTTCTCAAGTAGCTGTTGTTCCTGTACTATTCGCAGTCTCAGTCGAGTTCATAGAGGTATCTGCTGCTTATCTATTTTCGCTGCCTCCCGGCTTGGAGCTTCATGAAGTGTATCAGAACTCCCTGCCCATGGATTTGTGGCTGCAAACACCAGCTGAGAGATCCCGGCAGCCTCCAGGTTTGGGGCTGCAAGCAGGAGCCAGGCCCAGAGGCTACGGCCCTTTAGAGACAGCCATCGCCCTCCCGGTACCGGTACCCGCAGTAGCGTGAGGTGATACGTGCTGTCTTGGCTGCAGCAGCTGCACCTTGCTACTGCTGGTGCACAGTCCTGCTGCTGCAGCTCCAGCACCCTGGTGGTTGTTGCAGTGGTGCACCCTGCTCCTGTAGCAACTGCTGCAGCTCGAACAGCTCGAACATTACCACAGTGCTTCTGCTGCACCAGTAACAGCAGGGTTCACCAGTAGTTACTTGACAGCACGTTGGGGTTGCTGGAACATTGTTTTGTCAGTTTGTCTCCTTAATCGGCGTATACCAACTAGAGCGGCAGGCCGTAGCAAATAGGGCAGCTTCGGTAGTGGTCGGGTGTACTGGTCGTAGGTGTTGGATACCCAGCAAGCACGCTATAATTTATACGCTATATATTCTACATCTGCCAACTTCCTATAAATTATATTAATATATAATATTCTGTAAATTCGTTGCTGTGTTTGTCTATAACGTTACAGTAGTATCCATGATTGTTACACGTCTCATCCTCCGAGTTGGGCAACACACAACAGGGGCAAGCACATGAGTAGTCCACTCATTTTGTATTAAAATACACAAAAACATTATTAAAAAGCCAAAACAATAAAAAAATTAAAATAAACAAAAACATTCACAAATTTGTATATGTAAGAAAAAAATAGCACAGGCATTACGTGATTCATTCCATGAGACAGAGTGACGAGGGATTTGGCCACCTTAAGAAGGCGACGGCAACCCGTAGGGGTATGGCTAACGACCAACCATGGCCAAAGCTGATCTCTTAGTGTACAGTATGTAAATAAATGTACAGATACAAAAATATAATACATATAAAATATACATAACACCTTAGCACGAATACAAAAATATAATACATATAAAATATACATAACACCTTAGCACGAATCAAACATCATTCCTTCATTGAGTGACGAGGAATTTGGAGACGAACAATTGAATCAGTGAGAGTGACGAGGGATTTCGAGACCTTTACGGGAATCCCATATAATCCGTATACGAGTAAGCATTCCGTACTAACAATCCATTCTATGTGAGTGACCAGGGATTTCGAGACCTTGTACGAATGGTCATTCCTTCCGAAGAATTAGATTTCGAGAACATAACTGGAATCCCATGTAATCAGTATACGAGTAACCATCCCTTCGGTACGAGAAATTCATTCCGTTTGATTGACGAGGGATTTCGAGAGTCATTCCGTTTGATTGACGAGGGATTTCGAGAGCATACGAATGCAAGGGCAATATCGTAGGAATGACGAGTGATTTTGAGACCTAGAATGCTCCGTCCAATCTCATCTCATGAGTGACGAGGGATTTTGAGACCTTGATTGGAACGGCCAATCTCATCTCATCTCATCTCATGACGAGGGATTTGGAGACCTAGAATGGAACGGCCAATCCCATATCATTGGGAGACCTAGAATGCAGAGGGCAATCCCATCCCTGGCAAAATGGGCCCAGCAAGCTGGATATGCTGAAGGAAGAACACATCGTACAACGCAGGCTGAATCTTAGTGGATCGTAGGACAAGCCTACTCTCACACTTACAATACCTGGTTGCGCCAAAGTCGTCTGCAATGGATGTAGCACCTCAATTGTGGGAAATTGCGATTATAGCCCGGCGCATGACGCAGAGGGCTTTGATGAGATGTTGTGCTCGAGGCACTAAAAACACATGCAAGTAACAAATGAGGCGATGAG